CGGTGAACAGCCAGAACCTGCTGCTGCTGGGCGTGCTTGTCTTCATGCTCGGGGTCCTGAGCGCCTTTGCGGGCGCAGTGATCGACGGCGACACGGTGTCCCTGGTGGAACGCAAGTACTCCCATTACTGCCTGCCCCCGCGCTCGCCGGCCGCGGCCCCCAGCCCCGCAGCCGCGGCCCCGGGTCCGGCCCCAGGAGCGCCGCGCTCCCGCAGCACCCTGGACAGCGCCACGTCTGCCAAGTGCCGCCAGCTGAAGGACTACCAGCGCGGCCTGGTGCTCTCTACCATCTTCAACTCGCTCGAGTGTCTGCTGGGCCTGCTTAGCCTTCTGCTGGTCAAGAACTACAAGTCGTCGCAGGCCCGGAGGGGTCGGCGCGGCCGGCGGAGGGCAGGTCGGGCCCTGGCGCGGCCCCGTGGCATCCCTGGGCTCCGTGCGCAGCCGCCATCCTCCCGTGCGCGGCGGGGACGACGGGGTCGGCGGGGACGACGGCTGCAGCAGCGGCCGAGTGAGGCCTCCATCCTGTCCCCTGAAGAGTCCGACTTTGCCGCCCCTGGGGACTGCGCGGGCTTCGCGGCTCACCACGCAGTGTCCTACATTAACGTGGGCGTCTTCCACGCATTCGACGAGGCGGGCGTGGAGGTGTGCTGCGGCGGACACCCATCGGTGGAGCTGCCCGGGTACGCGCCCTCGGATCCCGACCTCAACGCCTCCTACCCGTACTGTTGCCGACCGCCCTTCGAGGCGGCGCGCCCCTGGGAGCCGAGGCGGGCCTGCTGAACCCCAGGCTGGGTCCCAGCGCTCGCGCCTCCCGCAAGAGCCCAGGGGAGGGTCCCAAGCCAGGCCTCGAGGGCGTAACAGCTCCGTGACCACTGGACGGTCCTCTGATGTTATCGTTTCTGTGTCCAGGACGTTTCTCTTCTCTGTGTCGTTCGTATCCGGATTCCATTTAAAGTTTACAAGAAATGTTTTGGGTCGGCTCGCCAACTGCACTTCTCTTTGGCATCGGTTCCCTGGGTGGCGCTGAGGTCCCAGGTCGAGGGGCAAGAACAGAGCGCGCAGCTAGCGTGATTTCCTGTGAGGACCTAGGCTGAGCGACAGACAAAAGCCAAGGTCCTGTAGGAACTCAAGGAGGAGTGCCGTCTGGCAGCAAAACTGCGACCCCACGTGCCTGCTTCAGCCGACACTTTCTTACTGTAAAGCTCTCCATAAACAGTGACTATGTTTGGTATATTTATTGCAATTTGAAGTTGGTGAGTTCCTTTATTAAATTAATTGCTATGTTATTGGAGAATGTTCATCAACTTGGAATTAGAGGGTGTCTACACGTAAATGAGCATGGGGAGGAAGGGCAGAATTGGGTCGGATTCGTTAAGTTTGAACCTGTGTTCTGCCAGCTGGTCCTCTCTGTCCGCCCTGTCTCTGAGCTAACTCGCTGAGTGTGCAGACACTGACACCAGACCCTTTCATTTCTGTTTTTGGAAACTGGCTGTGTGGTTTCTACTGCAAAGCAGTAGAATTTATTTTTGGTTAATACATATGAACAATCTAATCCTATTTTGGAGAATCACAGTCATAGTTTTTCTGCAAAGATAATTTTCCTGTAAACTCATTACTCTGGTAATTTTGAATATTATAGCATTTCATCTAAAATATACCCCTTAAATAGCCTTAATGAATGTGAAGGTCATACTTTTAAACAACTAGGATATGTGTGTGTGTGTATGTGTGTGTGTGTGTGTGTGTGTGTGTGTGTGTGCATGTTTGCACACTGTGGAATGAGCTTCATATGATGGCGGAATGTGTGTCCATCCTTCTGGGGGGCTGGTTCCTAGTCTTGGAAAAAGGTTATCCGACTTCCTTGTGCCTGGAATCCTAGGGCCGAGCCAGGGAGTTGACTGATCAGCTGGGAGCAGAGTCCCAGCCTGATCCCCAAAGGTGTGTGTCCTCTGCAGATGGGAGTGGAGGACAGTGTACTCTGCTGTGTGGGCACCAGCACAAAGCACTTGGAGTGAGGGGAGTCAGGGAGATTGTGTAATATCTTCATGGTGTGCAGTAGTCCACTCTGTGAAAAAGTTGGAATTTAAGGATGGTGTGTAGTTACTTGGTGCAGGCTCTGGGGTTGAACCTCTCCTCAGTCCTCAGGTGCCCTGCCCAGAGCTCCCCTGAACTCCTGGTGACCCAGCCCCCTGTCCCATCTGGGAGCTTGCTGGGCTGCCCTGACCTGTTCCCACTCAGTGGGCTTATTATGGAGTGCAAGCCTGTCCCACTAATGCTCAGACAGTTCCTGTGAGACGTGGGGTTCTTCTCAAGAGGTAACAAGTCCAGCGCTCACCTTGCTGTATTGAAGCTGCCCCAGGAGTAGAAATGACTTATGGCCATCTTACTGGGGTCCCACCTACAGGGCACTGCCCGTATCAGGCTTTTGCTGTCTTGGGGGCAGTGGGAGCAAGAGGGTTCAGTCTGACTTGCTGGTCCTACTGCTGGTCTATTAGGTCCCTCCTGCCCCAGGATAAGTAGCCTTCTGACCATTGGCCTAAGCAGAAATGTCACAAGTGCAGCACAAAGTGACCTAAACCACCTCATATCTACTTAATTCAAATCCACAGGGCAGGTATTTTCCTCTGGGAACAGAGGCTTCCTGAGGCAGCCAGGCCCCTCCACCTGCTGGGTGAGCACTGGGTGTTCCTGGGCAAACCAGTGGATGTGAAATCAGCCTCTACCCTTTGTTTTTCTGAGCTGTTTCGTTTTACACACTTTATACAGCTCAAAATGTCAAATGCCTTATGGATCTTTTGCTATCAGTTTGGTCTCTAAGGCTTCAGGCTTTCCTTGGGGTAAAACAGAAGGCCAAGGGTGGGGAAGGCAGGGCCTGTGGCCAGGGGCTGACACAGAAGGGAATCAGGTGTGTCCTGGGGTAGCAGGGGAACCTGGGGTGCAGGAGGGAGGGGATTTCCCCAGCCTCAGGTGAGCTAGCCTCTTCCCAACCACCAGCACACCAGGTGGCGGTTTAAGACTGAGCTTCCCAATTCCAGATGCAGTAAGTTTCACTTTTACAGAGTTGGATAGGAGATGTGAAGTATCGAGGTTTCATTTTTAGGGTTAACTAGAGAAAACAGAATCCCACTCTCTGTAAACTCAGATTGTCACAAAGATGAGCTCTCAGGGAAGGAGTGGAGGGTATGGAAGCCACTTGTCTCCTGATTAGATTAACTTCCTGTTGCCCCTCCACACTCGACTCCTGGCCATAGGTTTTACACATGTTCATTCTGCTTTTCTGGAATGTTCAGTTAGCCACTCAGAAGTGAATTGTGCTACCTAGAAAATAAGGTCAGCTTTTGACCTTTCTTCTATTGAGTCTTATTCTGCTTCCTGCCAGGAGTTTATTAGGATGATGAGATGCCAAAATTAAACAAACACATTCTAGCATCTTTTAGGAGGCTGAAGGTGGAGGTTGTAAGTTATTATTTTATGGTAAAGATGTGATTTGGTTCAGCAGGAGTTCATTGTGAATATGGCTGGGGTTTAGTTTAAAGGGATTCTTCATGATGCTGTGTACCAAGTTGGGCAGTGAAGTCGCCTGACAAGTTGTGTTTTCTTAGGCTCAACAAACCTTCAGATATCTGGGTTTTCATGCCCTTCCATGGTCAGAGGGGGCAGGCAGGTGGGTTTTTCTTCCCTGGGTGCCTTTAACCTGAGCCACAAAACTGAGCTTTTGACTGAAAATTCAATTAAACAATCATTTAATTTGAAAAATTAGTCAGATGGTTGATTGTTGTGAATTTCAAAGACTTACGACTGAGGCTGGACCCCTGGCCAGGTCTTTGATGCAGTGCAGGAGCAACTGCGAGCAAACACACACACACATGCACGCGTGTGCCTACCACCACCAGCACATGTGCTCGTGCACATCCTCGTGCGCAGCACAGATGCACACAAAGACACATGCACATAGACACACAGGCACACAGAATGAGCACATGTGTGTGCACACACATGGTCTTCTGGGCAGTGTCTGAGAGCCAGGCCAGCAGCTCTGCCAGGGGAACCCAAGTGGAACCCACTCAGGGCATGTAAGCTGACCTTGCTGCTCTGTGGCTTCACATGCAGGATGAGCCTAAGGGGAGCCACTCCAGGGCCCCAGCAGTTGTTGAGCTACTGGCCATATCTGGAGGGGCAGGCAAGTGGGGCTGGGCAGGGAGGGTGGGAGGTGGGGGCAGGCAGGTGGAAAACTCCCATCTGTGTCAGTACAGCTCAGTGATTCATGGCAGCAGGTATGTTGGGGTCCAGGTAAGAAGAAGGCTGCCAGGCTGTATCCCAGACTCTCTGCAGGTGTGCCACTGGGACATTGCTAGGACTCTGGTGCTGACCCACTCTGCACCTACTTCCATCCTCCAAGGGCCTGGCACCTATGCGAGTGGGCAAAGGTGACGGTCCTGTAGTGCCCTCCAGGTCAGGATCACTCCAATATATGTTTTCTCACTGAGATAGGAAAGTAGGGAATGGTAGAGACCTGAGAAAGTGAGCTCTGCCACTGAGCAGGCACCAACCACGTGTAGACCTGTGTCCCTTCCTCTTGTCTGAGATAGACACAGCAACCTGATGTGAACAGGTTTAATTTCCTGTTGACTCAGTGTCTTGGCCTAATTTGCTGTCTTGTAGTACTGTAACCAACAGAAAAAAACACCAACAAAATGGAAAACAAAATTTAAATTAGTAAAATAGAGCACACCAATCTTGTGCCTCTGCTTGAACCCTCCTGAGCAGTCCTTGGGTGACAGGAGGAGCCTGGTGGTCCTGCAGCAGACTTGCTCCTGACAGTGGTCTGTGAGCCTCTGCCTTTTGAGGCACTAGAGGAACCCTCTTACATGCAGCTTCCCCGGAGAGTCCCTGATTGATGCACATTTCGCCTTTTTGTCAGCCTTTGGTCCTCAACGGAACGTCACTGTCAGACCAATAAAATGTTTTGAAAACATAGTATACTTCACAAGATTCGTGCTTTTCTGGCTACTGTCCTGTTTGTGACTGACTGTGTGGCAGAAAGTGGCCAACTGCCCAGCGTGCTGAAGGTGGGATGTGGAAGGGGAGCAGGCTTCTTTGGGCCTTTTCTGGTTCTCCCTCAGTGGTGCTGGGCACCTGGTTGCCCTGCCCTGGACCACTGGCAGCTGTCCTCTCACCCTCCAGGCCTTGCAGCACCTGCTGACTGCCACGGAGCAGGCTTTGCCTTTCCCTTTGATGTGATGCTAATTCCCTGCTGATCTCACTTATTGTCACTTGCCAGGCCACTTGATGAAACATTACCTGAAACATATCAAGTCATGTGACCTTACTGAGAAGCATTCAAGAAGGAGAGGAACCAACCTTCCAGCTTTTATGCAAATGATCTAGGAATGGGGAGGAGCCAACAAAGGCTACCCTGTGGTAGGAAGAGGTGGGAGGCAGGAGTTGGAATGCAGGTGCTGGGATGCAGGAGGTGGGAGGCAGAGGGTGGGATGCAGGAGGTGGGATGTAAGAGGTGGGAGGCAGGAGGTGGAGGCAGGAGGTAGGAAGCAGGAGATGGGATGTAAGAGGTGGGAGGCAGGAGGTGGAGGCAGGAGGAAGGAAGCAGGAGGTGGGAGGCAGGTGGTGGGATACAGGTGGTGGGAGGCAGAAGGTGGGATGCAGGAGGTGGAGGCAGGATGTAGGAAGCAGGAGGTAGGAGGCAGGAGGTAGGATGCAAGTGGTGGGATGCAGGAAGTAGGAAGCAGGAGGTGGGATGCAGGTTGTGGGAGGCAAGTGCTGGGAGGTGGGATACAGGAGTTGGGATGCAGGTGCTGCATGCAGGTGCTGGATGCTGGATTTGGGTGCAGAAGGTGAGATTCACAGGGTAGAGTGAACATTGTAGTGTGTACTGTACCCATGTTTTTTTCCCTCTAATTTCAGTTATCCATGGTCAACTTCAGTCTGAAAGTATTAAATGGAAAATTCCAGAGTGATGCAGCCCATAAGTTTCAAATTATGCTTCTTTCTGAGTAGCATGATGAAACCTTGCACCATCCCACTCTTTCCTGCCTGGGACATGAATCATTCCTTTGTCCAGCATATCCCCATGTCCACCCTACCCATCCATTCATCACTCAGTAGCCATCTCAGTTTTCAGATGAACTGTCTGCATCGCAGTGATTGTGTTCCAGGATTAATATTTTACTTAATAATGGCCTCAAAATGTGAGAGTAGTGAAGCTGACAACTGGGACATGTCAAAGAGAAGATGTATAATGCTTTCTTGAAGTGAAAAGGTGAAGAGTTCTTGATTGCAGAAAAGAAAAACATATTCTAAGACCCACAGTAAGAATAAATCTATTCATAAAATTATGAAGAAGGAAATAAATTCCTGCTAGTTTTGATGTTGCACTTCAAACTGCTAAAGTTACGGTGATGATATATGGTAAGAGCTTAATTTAGATGGAAAAGGCATTAAATGTGGGGGTAGAAGACATGAACAGAAAACAACTCCAATCCAGCAGCGAGGTGTTCTGTTCCAGAAAGCATTGAGCTGGCATCAGTACTTCAGGAAGTAATCCCCTGGAAGGAGTGACAGCTAACCATTTACTGAAAGTAAGGGATGTCCAGGTTTGAGCTGAAAATTAGTTACTTTTGTTAATCTCTTACTGCATTTGATTATAAATTTAAATTCATCATATGTATATATAAGAAAATGTGAAAACCACATATTTATGGTTTGGTATCCTTGGAACACATCCTATATACAAGAGGAGAATGCTGTACATTGTGGAATGTCATGGGTGAGATGCAGAGGTAGATATCCAGGTATAATATACATGGTGGGAGGCAGGAGGTAGGAGGCAGGAGGTGAAAGGCAGGAGGTGGGAGGCAGGTGCTTGGATGCAAGAGGTGGGAAGCAGGTGGGGACATGGAGGCAATAGGATGCAGGAGGTTGGAAGCAGGAGGTAAGAGGCAGGAGGCGGGAGGCAGGAGGTGGGATGCAGGAAGTAGGAAACAGGAGGTGGGATGCAGGAGGAGGGAGGTAGGAGATGGGATGCAGGAGGTGGGATGCAGGAGGTGGGGTGCAGGAGGTGGGATGCAGGATGTGGGATGCAGGGTGAGGGAGGCAGGAGGTGGGATGCAGGTGGTGGGATGCAGGAAGTGGGAGGCAGGAGATGGGATGCAGGAAGTGGGATGCAGAGTGAGGGAGGCAGGAGGTGGGATGCAGGAAGTGGGATGCAGGTGGTGGGATGCAGGAAGTGGGATGCAGGTGATGGGATGCAGGAGGAGGGAGGCAGGAGGAGGGATGCAGGAGGTGGGATGCAGGAGGTGGGATGCAGGAGGAGGAATGCAGGAGGTGGGAGGCAGGAGGAGGGATGCAGGAGGAGGGATGCAGGAGGAGGGAGAAGGAGGAGGGATGCAGGAGGAGGGATGCAGGAGGAGGGAGGCAGAAGGTGGGATGCAGGAGGTGCGAGGCAAGAGGAGGGATGCAGGAGGAGGGATGTAGGAGGTGGGAGGCAGGGGTGGGAGGCAGGAGGAGGGAGATAGGAGGAGGGATGCAGGAGGTGGGATGCATGAGGTGGGAGGTAGAAGGAGGGATACAGGAGGAGGGATGAAGGATGTGGGAGGCAGGAGGTGGGAGACAGGAGGAGGGATGCAGGAGGAGGGATGCAGGAGGTGGGAGGCAGGAGTTGGGATGCAGGAGGTGATATGCAGGTGGAAGAATGCAGGAGGTGGGAAGCAGGTGATGGGAGGCAAAAGGTTGGAGGCAGGGAGTGGAATGCAGGAGGTAGAATGCAGGAGATGATAGGCAGGAAGTGGGATTCAGGTGCTGGGATGTGGAGGTGGGAATCAGGAGATGAGTGTCGGGGGGTGGGATGCTTGCTGCAGGAGGTGGTTGATGGGATGCATGGGGCGAATGGGCCTACCCTGACAAGGCACAGGCTTTCTGAGAGCACATCAATTTATTCATGGTCTGAAATATCTTCATTCTGGCAGCACATAATGTGTTCATTTACCTGAGCGCTCACTGCAGCTGTCCCCGTCTTGAGCAGGAGAGTCGGACTTCTGCTCCCACCGTGTAGGAATGGGCAAAGTGCCCCTCCCCCAGGAAGAACCCTCCCTCTGGCAGGGGTGCTGGAAGGACTCCTGAGACCAGAGGTGCAGGCAGGGAGGAGACTCTCCCGGTGGTGGTTGATGAGTCCAGTGCACGTCAGACAATGGTTGTCCCCAGACTTGAATTGACATGCCAGATGAGGGGTCTAAAAAAGGAAGAAATATTAAAAGCAGTCATATGAGGGGGAAACCTTTCTGAAAATAAATTATGTTTGGCTTAATCGCCATGTTTTCCAGATGGCCACAAATAAATGGAATATTCTGCAGATCAGTGTGTCCATCCCTTGCCTCTCCAGAAGGACCCCTGAGGCCTTCCAGGGACTGCCATTCCATCTAGGCAGGCTCCCTGGGCAGAGGCTTGGGCCAGAGCTGCTCTGGGAGGGCGCTGCCCTAGGCCGGGATGCCTGGAGCCCCCCTCTCACACACCCCCAGCCTCGGGCAGAGCATAAGCTCAGAGGCAGCCCCACCTGTTTATGGTAGGAGGCCCAGGGGAGGTCGCTGTCACTCAGATTCCCAGTCTCCAGATCCCTTGCCACAAGGCTTCCCACATATTTGTCCCCACCCCAGGGGAATAGGGACGACCCTGCAGGAGGGTCTTGGACGCTTGCTGGTGACAGCCCTCTTACTTTGGTAAGCATAACTCAGGTTATTTTTTCCTTAAGTGCGTGACTTCGCGCTCTCCCACACTGAAGCTCACCCGCCACTGCGCGCCCACCCACACATGCTGCTGCTCCTGCTGGCGCCCACTCTCCTTCTCTGCCATCCCTTTCCATTCTTCAAGGCTGAGCTGGGAATGGAAAAGCTCTGCAGCCTCTCTAGGCCCAAGCAGCAGTGCCCTTAGGTGCTTGTCACCAGATAAAGGTGAAGGTACCTCTTACAGAGGACCCTGCAGGAGCCCCTGGGATCTTCCTATGTGGCACGTGTGCCCTGGACATCAGCTCCTCACAGCTAATGGTCGGTAGGGCATACCACTGGGACCCTGTGTGCCAAACCTTGTCCTAAAAACAGTCACTTCCTGGAGGAAGATTGGGCTTAGGGCCTGCCTCTGTGCTCTGTGGTGCTGGCCTGAGTCTTGCTGCATGCACCAGGAGCTCAGTTGCTCTCCTGGAGTCTGAGACAAGGCAGGAGTGACACTCTGCCCTGGGTGGCGTGTGTGGGAGTTTTATAACCCAGACAGCAGGTGGGCAGTGGGACAGACTTGATCTTCCTCCAGACACATCCTGTTGCTGCTGCCTGCTTACTGTCCACCCTTCTGTGCTCAGGGTCCCAAATGCAGCCTTCTCTAAACTCGACATGGTCCTTCTCAGATGACTGGCTGGCCCTAGCCCACCCACCCTGGAGTCCTGCCCTGGGAGTCCTGCACACATCTATCACCAAGCCCTTCATCTCAGCGCTCTCTGCAGAATCATCTCACTCACTGTATTCACCAGAGGCTGTCAGTCATAGCCAGCACTGCCAGATGCCAGGAATGCCAGTGTGCCTGTCTGCAGTGCCTCCCCTAATTTAGGCCCCAACCTGGGATAACTAGAGGAAACAGAGAGCCTTCACCTTCTTTGTCTCATTCAGACCCTGGAAATGCGGACCTATGATGCATGCAGAGCACACTGCCTGTGAACCAGCCATATTTTGCACAATGCAAACCACGTGGGGACAGTGGCTGCTGACCACCAGCCTAGAACAGCCTCTTGCATACAGGCTTCCTGGTTTTGAGTTAGGACGGATGTTGAGCATGTAGTGCATGATGTGACACAGATGCATGCAGCCATTAAAATTCAGACATTCAAAATTCAAAGTTTAATTTTCTTTCCCTCACCTGGTCCATATGTCTTCTATCTTTAAAGATGTAAATAGCCTGAGCTTCCCTGCACCCTTTCCCCAC